GTGCCATGTGCAGTAGGGTGCATGGTGGAGCTTGTCATATCATAGGCACGAGATGCTATGCATGTGGCCAGCAGGGCCACATGAGCAGGGACTGCCCACACGAAGGGTTTGCTTTGTTTTCACTACAACTAGATTGGCCATAGGCGGGTCCATTGTCCGAGATTGCAAGGAGGAAGGGGAGCAGTGACGATGCCTGCACCCGCCACGATGAGGATTACCGATGGCCTCCCTGCAAAGGCGGATACTCCAGTGGTGAAGAGCCGCGCATTACAGTTGATTACTGAGGAGGCTCAGGCAGCGCCGAACATTGTGGCTGGTACATGTATATTATTCCCTGCTCTTTATTATTCATATGTATGATGTGTACGTTATGTTGGTATAAGGACCTTTAAGGTCAATGGTATGTTGGTCCATGTTTTGTTTGATTCGGGGGCTACCCGATCGTTCGTGTCTCTTGCGCTTAGCAAGAAGTTCCGGGATGCATCGGGAACCTCGGTTTCCCGCTCAAGGTAGAGATTGCAGATGACCGCACGTCGAGTGCCACGAGAGTGGTGTCAGGTCGAGCAGCTAGAGTCATTGGCATTGTTGGGATTCATGTAGTGCTAGCTAGTTTTCAGGAGTCATGTTGTCTGGAAGGGTTATTCGTGGAGCCCTAGCTCTGTTAGTCGTCAGCCATCATCAGACTGTCAATTGGACAGGAGAGGGTTTGGGAAATCCTTCACTTCTCGTGTGCCAAGAAGATCTAGTTGAATCTAAGTGAGGGAGAATCATTCAGATAGCCAGGATTGAAGCAAGTGTGAGACGAGAATACGTTTCACATCTCCATTGGGGAAGGAAATTCGGTCTTAGGGACCGATTGAATATATGATAGCATGAAATGTTTCTGGGAATTCGGAATGGAATTGGTAGAGATTGTTGAGGCAAGGGTTTGAACCTTGAGTTACAGGATCTTGTGGACAAGCGGTACAGGACACAGAAAGGCTACGATTGGGTGGTCCTGATATTTGATCTCTTGGGAACCTAGTGGATGGACCAGGTGCGAGGTTATTAATCTCGAAAATCGGATAAGGATACCTAATTACCGGTCAGGTAAGGGTAATCGGAGGTTATGATGCATAATGGATCCTGAGGGAATAGTAGAGTATCGACTCATTTGGAGAGGAATCAGAATCGAGGTTTGCACGAATTTAGTTCAGGATTTTGACTCTGTGAGATGGGATTCAGGAGTGTAAGGATGCCAAGGGCATCATATGCAGTATACCAGGGTATCAAATGGGTATGGTTCGATGGTGGCTCAAGCTATCATGATGTACCTCAAGTGGTTCCATCAATAATGGGATCATGACATGTTGAACCTAGGAAAAGTCAGATCAAGGGAGGTCGGGTATGATGTAAGTCTATAGTGGTTCTAGTAGCATTCGTCATTGCATCGGATTCAGTGGTGACGAGTTGTCAGCTTGTCATGATCGGATGGATCAAGGATTGAAGAAGTCGAGAGATGAGGCATCGTCAGGGTAGTTATTGTCGGGTGGTATGTCCTTCGGAGGTCAGGTGGGACTACTGAGTGTGTGTCTCTAGCTCAACAATCGGGAAGGTGTCTGGTGTTTCGGATAGTTGACAGGAAAGTTGGGACTAGGAAGGTCTCGACCGTTCTTCAGGAAAGCGGTCATAACAGCAGCAAGAAGAATAGGAGTGACTTCAACGACATGGAGCCTGTGAATAGAATTGTGGGTTATTCGGTAGTCGTAGTTGGTCGGCATCTTTTGATCTTTAAGAAGCCTCATGGTATCACGAGTGGGAAGTATTCTATCTAGGATGGTCTCTTGAATCAGTTTAAGGATGATTCGTTGTGGGCAGTCCATCAAGGAGACAGACCATCTCGAGGCTTTGGGTGTCAAATGGAATAGACGTGATCAGGTTGCAAGGAAATCGTTCATCTTTAGATTCTAGAACCCGTGAGGGTTGGTTTTGATTGCCTTGGGAAGATTGGAGTATCCCCGGGTTTGTGGCCATGGTGCTCATGTAGTATGGTATGTCGGGGATGGTGATGCATGACTTCGAGGACGAAGTCTAGTTTAAGTGGGGGAGAGTTGTAACGACATGTTTGAAATTACTCGGTTGGGGCCTCGAAAACCAAAGTGGTAGGGGTGATTCGGTCTTCTATGGGTCTTGGGATTTATCCGAAAGGTTTTAGGCTTGGAGGTGTCGAGGGGAGCGTAGGGCTTCCCGCCACCTTCTTGTGTATATAAAGTTCGTCGGAAACGGACTTGGAATAAAGGAGTTATGACACTTTGTATTTATTGTTGATTTTAGCCCTTAATGGAAAATTAGTGACAAGATGATCCCATGCATGCAAGGTGGGCAGCTTTAGAGTACGCCCAACGTAAGCTGGCGCACGCCCAACGTAGATGGAGTAAATGGTCGCGGGTGATTGGAGACGTAAGCCCAAAGTCACTAAACCCTATTTTTTAGGGTGTAACACTATATAAAGAACATTACACCCTCTAGGGACAACCTCTATCTCATCCTTAAACCCCTCTTCGAAACCCTAACCCTTATAGTGAGAGTGTAAGATTGCAAGGCCATCTTGGAGTGCATTTTGGTGATTTTGAAGAGGAGTTATCATCTTAGAGTTTCATTGATCAAGGAAGAGCTTTTGGATCCAGGTTCTCCATCATATTTGCAAGTCTTAGAAGGTATAAAGTTTCTACCTTGTTATCTTATAGCTTGAGATCTAGATTAGGGCTTGTTTGGTGTTTTTATGAGCTTTTGGGACTATCTCCTGGGAGTTGAGTAACTCCAGAGCTTAAGGAGAGTAGATTTGAGGTCCTTTGGTCCATCTACTTCATAAAATGCAATCTTGATGAACATTCTAACCTTATGCATGAATCAAGACCCTTAGAAAGGTCTTAATGGGTTGTTAGGAGCATATGAAGCATGTAAAGTCATAAAATTGCCAAATTTATGCCTTAAGACGTCTTAATGGATCTAGATCTGAAGTTTGATGTTGAAATCCCGAGTATTAAGCACTTGATGGAAAAGTAGCTTAACAGAGGAGTATGTTGGGCGTACATGCCAGTACGCGCTGCGTACACCACTTCTAGTCAGTACCCTTATCGTACATACGAGTATGCCCCGTGTACTCATTAGTTTTGGGCCAAACAATGGACTTTGGGTCTTTGGGCTTTAGTGAGCCATCAGGAGTCATATGTTTTGGGTTAGGAATATGTTTAGGCTTAGGGTAATGCTCATTAAAGGGATTGGGCCCAATTGTGCAAGTTGGGCCATTGGTGGACCACTAGTGGGCTTGGAAAGCCTACCTAGTGTTGGGTTTTCAACTGAGCATTGGGCCTTAATTTTGGATCATACAGGGCTAGGGGTAAAATGGTCATTTTACCCCATGCATGGATTAAGGATTATGGTATGGGCCCCAGTTACTAATTGGGTGTATTGTTTTGGTATTGATGGTCAGGAAGTGGTCAGGGCAACAACTAAGGATTTATTCAGGAAGCTTCTATATTCAAGGTGAGTCTTCTCACCATACCAATGGGTTTAAGGCAACAAGGCCGATCCATTTTACGATAGTTGGTATACTTGTTGTGTAGAGGTGCGTGGCATTGTTATGCATTGATATGTGGTAGAGATGGCTTTTACAGCAAATGGTAGAGATAGCCTGTATGGCTAATGGTAGAGATAGCCTTTATGGCTAATAGTAGAGATAGTCTATATGGATAAGGGTAGAGATAGCCTTGTGGCTAAAGGTATAGATAGCTTTATAGCTAATTGATATGTGTTATGTGGTAGAGGTAGCTTTATAGCTAATTGATATGTGTTATGTGGTAGAGGTAGCTTTAAAGTCAATTGATATGTGTATGTAGTAGAGGTAGATTTTATAGCTAGTATGTTATGTGGTTTGTGTGTGGGGTATGCTTTGGGGAACTCACTAAGCTTCATGCTTACACGTTTGTTTATGGTTTCAGGTACTTCAGATTCCAAGGGCAAGGCGTAATAGCGCGACGTGCACTCTCTCGTAGACTTTTTGCGACACTCTGATGTTTGGGAGAAAATTTGTATTTGACTTATGCTTTGAAAACAATTATAACTGGATTTCTTAATGTATGACAGCATGTTTGCTTATTCTAAAATGAAATTTTTACTTTGAAAATTTGGTCGTTACAATATATTTAGGGAAATTATATATGTCAAAAATCATAAATTAAAATTATAAGTTTATTGAAATATATAACAAATTTAGATAGAAGTGAATACAAAAAAATTAAAATACACACGAAGATCTCACTTCATGAATAATCATTAAAGATTATATATATATATATATATATATATATATATATATATATTATATATATATATATATATATATATATATATATATACACACACACATACATACATACATACATACATATACATATATCTATATATATACATACACACACACATATATATATATATATATATATATATATATATATATATATATATATATATATTATATATATATATATATAAAGTAACAGGGGTTGAAGACGGCCCGCTAGTCGTAGTGGTGATTGAGTGATGGTGGTGGTGTTGTGCAAAATATGTTATTTTCTAAATATATAAAATAAGTTAGGAGAGGTGGGTTAGGTGAGATTCTTTTGGTATTTTTATTTAAAACAATAAAGAAAGCAGTTAAAAGAAAACAAAAACAATTAAAAATAAAATTTATTATAAATAAAAATAATAAATATAAAGTAATAAGCCAATAAAAAGAATTAACACAATAAAAAAAATTAATTAAATAAAATTAATAATCCATTAAAGTAACACTTACTAATAGATAAATATGATATGTTTAAAATAATATTTTTTTAATATATAATAATCAAATAAAAAAGAATTAATCCAATAAAGAATAAATTAAAAAAATTAATAATCAAATGAATTAATATTTATTAATATATAAATATAATATATTAAAAATAATATATATATTAATCCAATAAAAAATAATACAATAAGAAAGAAGATAAAAAAGAATTAATTAAAAAAAAATCAATATACAATAATTCAATAAAAGGAAAAAAGAAAATTTGTATAGTTAGTCATTATAGTTTGGTAAAAAGATAAAACTGCAAAAATGATCCCTAGGGTTAAATCCATCATTTGCCAAAACTTAACAGCTAAAAAGTTAAACTTAACGAAATAGAGAGCAAAACCACAACAAACCACCAAATAGGAACATTTTTTTGCTAATAAAGTGTTTTTGGACCTTACCCAAATAAATTAACAAACCATAGGGATCATTTTTGCACTTTTGTTTATATTTTTGTAAGTTTTTACTAAATAAAAATAACTATAAATGAAATTTGTAGAATGAAAGACAAACAACCAAAAATAAATATATCTAGTGGCAACAAGCATCTTACCACTAGCAATGTCATATAAATCATTTCATATCAAAGTGAACTAGATTCATACATTTCTTTATAATTATTCCAATATATATTACCACATAATAGCGTGATAATTTTATATTTTAGCGGCAACTGCAACTTTTGATCCCGAGGGGCGGCCCAAATTCTTGCAAATGAACTCCCCGGTTTGCAAAAGCTTTGTTAAATCAACATTTGTTTTGATTCCAAGGCCATTAAGCATATACACCACATCTTCTGTCGCAACATTCCCCGAAGCTCCCTTGGCATATGGGCACCCTCCTAATCCAGCTACGGAGGAATCCACTATGCTTATTCCCATCTGTTATCCATTAAAAATGTGAAAACTTAAAACACGTCTCTTTGGTTGGATGAGATGGAATGACGAAAATATAGAATGAGAATGATAAAAAAAAAAAAAATGTCAGAAGAGTAAAGTTGCTAGTCATTAATGCAATGTCCCTTTCTATATTATATGCAAAATCGATGTATAGTTTCAAATAAGGAAATCTCTGATAAAGTCCTAATATTTTGATCCAGTTTGTAGTTTTATCCCAATTTTTATTTTTTGAATAGAAAAGTCCCTGATTAGTCTATATTTTGCCAAAATTAACAAAACAATCATTTTTCTTTTCAACAGAAAATAACAAATTATAGTATAAAATTAGATAATTGAGACTTTTTTGTTCAAAAATAAATGTTAGGATTAAACCGTAAACTGATACAAAATATTAAGACTTTATCAGGGATTTTCCTTTTAAGTATAATTTATACATTATATGTAGTAATAATTAGTTACAAAACAATAGTTAAAGATAATAAAAGCTCATCAAAACTCAAATAAGATTATAACAAAAGTATATATTTTTAGCTTTATTAATATAAAATTGTAATTTAATTAAAATCGTAAAATATGTAAGAAAGATTTGTCATTATTGCAATTCTTCATATTACATTCCATCACATAAGGAGTAAGTTGTTGGCTTACTTGGAGGGATACTAAAATGTTTGGAAGAGATTGGCCATAAGTATCGTGAAAGTGAACCGCAAGCTTCTCAATCGGGACAACCTCCATGACCGCTTCAAGCATAGGTATCACAGTTCCTATAAGAACGGATGCAAATTAGGTAAAGATTACACAAGTTACAAGAGTAGTGAAACTATTTTATAATAACCATAAGTACATGATGCAGTCTGCAGCAGTCACATTCACAGTCACAGTCACTAACCTGGTGTACCGATCCCAATTGTATCACCAAGTGAGATTTCCGAGCAACCCATGTCATGAAGTTTTTTCGCGACATAAGCAACTTTTGACGGGCTCACCGCACCTTCAACTGGACAACCGATCACACATGAAACGTACCTGTTTATAAAAAAAATCGATCAGATCAGATCAGACCAAACCAAACCAACTGGTCTGAATGTCTGATCCGACAAGCCCGGACCGGTCCAACACTTGGACAGGTCCGGTCTGAACCGGGCCAGACTTTTCAGACCCGGTTCAGCATGGAGCATGAACAAAAGGAATTAGTTCATACCCGCGAACAGGAATCGAGAGCTTTGTTGCAGTATGAATAACATCACGGTAACGAATAAGACTTTCTTCAATAGTACAATTAATGTTTGCCTTTGAGAAGGATTCAGAAGCCGAAGCAAAAACCGCAATTTCCTTTGCTCCGGCTGCAATAGCAGCTTCAAAGCCCTAATCAAAACCAACAATAAACATTTAATAAATTCTCACAAAGAATATATATAATTTTTTTTTTTTAAGTATGGATGAACAATACACACTTTTAAATTTGGTGTCAATACTGGCAATCTTGCACCTTCCAAATGTTTAACTGCTTCAACAACCTCCTTTGCATCTGCCAGCTTTATAATTCAATGATTGTAACTTGTAAGTAGATACATATAGTAATAACTTTCTAAAAGTTTATATATATATATATATATATATATATATATATATATATATATATATATATATATATATATATATATATATATATATAGATGCATCATAATTGGAAAAAGAAACAATACCTGAGGTACCCATTTGGGGGAAACAAAGCTTGTGGCCTCAACAACTGATAATCCACAAGAAAGAAGCCTATGAATTAATTCTATCTTCACAGATGTAGGTACAAGATTCTTCTCATTTTGTAACCCATCCCTTGGACCAACTTCCACTATCTTCACATACTTTGGCATGCCCCTAAAAATCTGATGTTATAACAATAAAAAGATTAGCGTTTATTGTATACAACTCAAATCTTGATTCGAATATGTGTTTTAATATTTAGGTTCAAAGAAATCACCTTATTTGTCATGTCCCTTGGAGTTGTATCATTGGAGATTGAGCTATGTTGAAGATTTGGTATATGTCGCGAATGAGAACGATTTCCATTTGTTTCATGGTTCATTCCTTCGATTTCCCAGATGAAATCATTGTGTGTTATCTCTCTTGTATGGTGTCTCCAAATGAAAGCTTCTCTCCTGTATTCTTTCAAATCTTCCCTGAGAATGTGAGCAGATTCGTATCAGTCTATCAGATGCATTCATGAAGATGAAAGAACAACATGGGAAGTCATTTCTATATGCTTCTTTTAGCAAAAATTCCATAAAAAATGTATTTTTTTTGAAAGGAAACATACTTGTAGCTATTGGATGATCCCCAATTCTTTCCTTCAATCCAGCAAGAACCAAATCCAGTCTCCTCTCCACTAGTGCTGCAACGTTTGGATGAAAACCTTCTTGAAAGATCAATGGTGCTTAGGCTTGGCAATTTGTCCAAACCAAGGGGTTCTTCCAAGCTCGACATTTCGGGATTTGAGAAAAAACACTGTAATGGAAGCATGATAGAAGTAAACCCACTGACAATTCAACAAAATTTGAAATCTGTGCTTATAGAAACAGCAAATTCGAAACCCTAAAAGCATTGATTTACGATAACTGAGACTTAATTCAACTCCGAATCAACACATTTCATAAACTCGTCAACTGACCTAGTCAGCGAAAGCAACTAATTCTTAATCTCAATTACTACGATCTACAATTCGAATTTACCAATTCCGAAACAAACGATGAACCTGATTACCAGAATCGAGTTGAAGAAATACAACGAACCTGGAATTTGATTGTGAATAGACACAAAGGGGAAGGAAGGTGACGATATTGTTGTAGAAATTATGGGTCGTATAAGTTAAAATCTTAGTAAACAAAGACGATGATTCAGAGAAGATGTTGTTCGAAGCATTACCTAACTTTTTTCTGAAACAAGGCTTCTTCAATGGCCACAGATGGAAGGTAGTTTTCGGTTGGAAGTTGGTCAATTTCTTCTGTACATTTCTCAACTCCTTTTCTTTTTATATTACTTTCGTCAAAGCTAATCTGGTGGTGATGATTATGTACACATATAAAATCCTAGTAACAACACACATTTTTATTTATTTATTTATATTATTTTTTGTTTTTTGTTTTTATTATAGAAATGTAGTTATAATATATTAAAAATTAAAATATTATAATTTGAAAACTCTTTTTGATTTTAATATTACACGTTTATATATCCTTAAAGTTTTATATAACTAATGTCTCAATAAGATTAGTTTTGTATTGAATGTTGAACGACATAACAATAGAAATATATTTAATTATAACAATAAAAAGCATTTAATTTTTTGTATAAATATTATCATAAAATGGTATATTTTATCTAATACTTTATATTTAAATGACTTAACTATTTTATAATATATTGCATAAAAATCAATTGAATTGAGATTTGAGAGTGAAATAATAATAATAATAATAATAATAATAATAATAATAATAATAATAATAAATTAATAATAAAGAAGAGAACAAATACATTTTTGATTCTATTGGCCTCTTACAAGGATGATTGAAACTAAGGGACCAATGTGAATTCCGACCACATAGGAGATTAAATTGAAATAAAATCATGTGACTGATAAAAATACTATAATTCTGGAAATTGTCAATCACATTCTAATATGGATTTTGTCATTTTACCCTTTTCCATTTACAATTAGTGAATGTAAGACATTCAATATACTAGAGGCTAGCATTTACTTGAAAACAGAAGATGATTGAAACCAAGATAGATTTGAGGACATCTGGACATGGGAGAAACACAATAAATATCTCTTTTATCTTAGGGGACCATTTAGCGAATGATTATAGAATTATGGGAAGGAAATATGTAACAAAAGCACAACTAGAGGAAAATTCTTAAATAGCCTACAATAATAGAAGCCATGAAATAAGAGCAAAACCTTCATAAGTTTATTTCTTAAGTAACTTAAACAAATTCTACATTCTAACTTTCATTACAATATAAAATGCATCTCATCCCATAATAAGTGTATCAACGGGTTGACTGTGAATGGGAGTTTATTAGGCCACTTAAAAGGGTGGCTTAACTTTTGCTGGTCCTTAATAAGTTCAAAAATTAATAAATAAATTAATCAAAGTAAGTTGTTATTTTTTGTTTTTAATGTATTATTTATGTTGTTTTAATTAATATTTTCATAAAAAAAATATTTTATTACAAATATGTGTCTATGACTCTTCAATTAGATATTTAATACTCATTAATATATATATATATATATATATATATATATATATATATATATATATATATATATATATATATATATATATTAAAGAAATGAATCTTAGGAATAGTAAATTTGGATGCTTTTTTGGCAACTTTGCTCCTTATTTTTTAGCCAATTTGACACTTCTGGTCATTGCAATCAATATGTATACACTCTTTAGGAATCTTTTAATATTTAAAGTTTGGTCACAAAACTTTAATGGTTTGACAACTTTGATCCTTTTTCTAAAACATTGTTAATTCTCACCCCTTTAATTCTTTAGTCATTTTGATACTTCTGATCCTTGCAGTCAAAACTTTTATATTTTTTCATAAAAATATGAAGAAAAAAAAACAGTCCGGGGCAAAAGCCCGGGTTTTTCATCTTTGCACTTTCTACGTCTGTCATATTTATCGATTCGGAAACAACAATAAAAGCTTCTGACCCGCGTAGCGGGGTAACATTTTTAGTTTTTAATTACAGAAAATTAATTTCGTAATTTATTAATTTATTGCCAGAAAATCAATTGAATCTGGACATGACAACAAAATAAACAAATACGTTTTTATTCTATGATACCCCCTTGGACCTCCAAGGCCCAATTCAAGGCTCCAAGCCGCTCCAAGTAATGAGGTGGTGATTAGAAGTAATGGTCCGGCCCATGCATGAAGAAACGATCTTTCTAGAATCTGTCAGTGTCATCAATACGAAATAAATATTCTATCTTCATTAGTGAATGGAAGACATTCAATGTAGTAGAGGCCACGATTGCCTTAATTAAAATCACAAAATAATTGAAGCCAATATATGAAGACATAAGAGAAAACCATTAAATATCTATTATATCTTAGTCCCCATTTAGCCAATGAGGACAACCTTACGAACGAGATAAAAAAGTGTCACCAGAAAAAATAAAATTAATTTATCAATAACTCTCGAAAGAGAAGTCATAAAGTGACTGGTATGTGAGTGATAAAAAATATATGCTAAAGTATTATTAGATTGGATGCATAATGAAATGCTAAACTGCAACAAAAAATAGATAAGTAAGTAATCTACACTTTATAATTGAATTCCGTGACCAGGATCGAGACGATGGGCAACCCGGACGACCGTTCAAGGCCCACGATTCTAGGGGGTCCAAAATTTATGGGCTATGTAGTGTGTGTGTGTGTGTGTGTGTGTGTGTGTGTATATATATATATATATATATATATATATATATATATTACCAAAATAATTATTAGGGCTTAAAGTTAGTTCAAACTCAAACTAGCTCAAAAAATAAACAATTTGGCTTATTTATTATTGCTAATTGATCGTGTTTATAGTAAAAAATAAATAATACTTTTTTGAATTTTTATTATATCTGTCTTTAAGAAGTTTTTTTTTTCTTTTCGCATCGGACCCCATATACGTTTGGACCGGCCCTATCCGTCACAATGACTAATTTTTTTTTTTTTATAAAGTAACCACATTCTCGGAAACACATGGTTCTGGAAAGGTATTCAAAATTCCAAAGTACGATTTCGAACCATGGTTCCAGAACACTTGTTTTTATGAATTTTATTTTTATTTGTTTGTTTATTTATTTAATTTTTATTTTCTAAGGGTTAGATTTACTCAATTTCCCTTTATATAGTGTATATTCATTTCGGACACACCTCCGGAAGAAGGTTATTTATTGTTATTTGTGCAAATGTATTTTGTTATTTTTATTATTTTTTTATAGAAGTTTTGTTTATATATTGGATAAAATACATTGGATAATCTTAAAATCAACAAAAACCAAATACATTTATAAATTAAAGGGATTTGTTTGAAGTAATATTGCAATGTTCAAATCATCTTATTCCTTGTACTCCAAAATATTTCCATCAGTCATTTACGATATGACAAATCCAATGTACCGCTTGGACCGTCTATAGAATATGACATATCGGCGATCAACGTCTATAGGAACCAACACAAAAACACCCTATAATCTCATATGTTGTCAATATGTTGTGGTACTTGTAGCGCCTTTTTGAGGGCCATGTTGAAACTCTCAAGTGAGAAGGAAATCACTTGGGTTCGGTATCCTAGTAGTTGATACCCACTAACAGTCTATGAATGTGGGCTCACATACCGATAAACCAATCCTCAGTATTTGAAAAGTAGTCGATCTTCCAATGACTATCGTATATTGTCATTTGGAAAGTCTTCAAATTCAAAGCACCCAAAATCCAGTGATAAATGGTATATTGATTGGGATGTAAAGCTACAAAAAAAGGTTAGAAATAATTAAACATCAAATAACCTTTTATTACATACATACTTAGGTAATGTAATCGAAACACAATTTTACCATATCACAGTCTACACAAGCTAGCTAAATAGATCCGAAGCTATGTCACTCCAGTCAATACATTAGCGTTTAAAGGTATCGTTACAACCATCCACCGAGCAGCATCCTGTTTACACTCCACCAACAGTGAGATCCACAACATGACGTGTTGCCAATTAAAAATATTTGCAGTTAAGTAAGTGTTGTTAGTAGAAGCATAGTACATACTTACATCACATTCTAACCACCCTGCGTGAATATCTGTAACATCCCAAAAATAATGATAAAACTTTTTATTGAAACACTATCAATTTCATTCAATAATTGTTTAAAAAATCATCACCACATATAATATCAAGAATATCATAGTACAATTATTCAAAATACAGAAATAATGAGGG